AACCGAGATGATGTACTCCGGTTGGTAGAGTTAGTGTTTTGTCCAACTTTGAATTCCCAACCGAGATGATGTACTCCGGTCGGAAGAGTTTGTGTTTTGGCCAACTTTGGATTCCCAACCGAGATGATCTAATCCGGTTGGAAGTGTTGATGATTTGTTCAACTTTGTTACTACCAACCAAGATGGTTATTTCAGTTTATGAATTTGTTGTTTTGTTCTGCTTAAGTGCTTCAACCGAGGTAGGAATTCCGGTTGACGAGGTGTTTCGTTCAAACAATGATTTATGCCGAGATGTTTTGCTGAAGATAGATTGGATGACAACCATGCAAACACTTGGTAAAATTTGAATTTTTCATTGATAAGAAAATCACTACAAAAGGTGGGGACAGAGCCCGGTTACATCAAAAGCGTTGAAAGCAAAAATGCAAAAGAGAAAAGAAAACTAAACTAAGGAGGAGAGATTGGTGAACTCGTCCTCGCCAGCATCAGCATCAAGGTTGATGGCTTGACTTGCTTCTTGGGCGCCGGGCTCATCATTGCCGGGCTGCTCTTGCACCTCGGCCTCCTCTGCCTCGGAATCTGTCTCGCCGCCTCCCTCTTCAAGTCCTTCCTCGGCCTCAGCTTGCAAAGCGCTGAAGACGTCGTTTGCATAAGGCACGAGGTAGACCGGTAGCGAAGCTGGAGGAGGGTTGGCAAATACGTCGGTGTCAGAGCCCTGGCCGAGGTGTTCGCAGGCAGACTTCCAACCGGCCTTGAAGTAGATGTCTTGTGTTGCAAAGACCTGCTTCTTGTAGCTCTGCTCGGCCTCGTTAAAACCGGCGTTGTTGGCAGCCCAGCAAGCCTTCTTCTTGGACTTCTTCAGGGTGTCCACCTCGGTTTGGAGCTCGTTTTGTTTTTTCTCGGCCGCATTCAGCTGACCGAGCAGTCTGTTATTGTCGGCGTTGGCCATCTCAAGGGATGACTTAGCCCGGCCTAGCTCGGCTTGAAGGCTCTCAACCTGGCTGGCTGTGTCGTTGGCCTTCTTCCGGAGTCTGTGGATGCGCTCCATGACCAGGTGCTGCTTTTGGATGGCCTGCAAAATTAGAATTTGATCAGAGAAGAAACCGTGCAAACACTTGCGAAAATTGAAACAGAGGATTGAACCTATTACCTTGGTCATGGACTTCACGGCGGATTTGACCAGCCGGGTGTCAGGGACATGGTCGCTTCCAACCACATCGCTGGGAAGCAGCAAAGCCTTGGAGAGATCGAAAGCGAGTAAGTGCTCCTTGTCTCCCTTGATCGAAGCATTTGCCGGGATCTCTTTTCCCCGGTGCTTCAGCTGCGGCCGCCATGCTGGGATGGAGCTGACCCTGTCGACCGGTTGCTCGGTTGCCAGCTCGGTGATGAGCTCGGCAGAAGGATCGGCCCGTGGTCTTTTGCCCGCCCGGCGTGTTTCTTGGCCAGACTGCCCGGCAGCTGGAGAAGCTAGCGCAACCACGGCGGCGCTCGATTGACCGGCAACCGGGGAGCGAGCGACGACACTTGGTATCTCGGCTAAGGTCACGGTTAGAAGGTTTTTGATTCGACTTCTTTTGGCCATTTCTTGCTCGTCTGTTAACCGGATTAACGGGACGCCGGGTAGGGTTGGATCTGGAGGTGGCGAAGGAGCTCTGAGGAAATCAGTTACTCTACTCCGGCGCGGAGCAGAATATCTGTAAGTCGGGGGTAAATCGTTGCAATCTCGGTGAGGGTACCGAAGCACGGTCCGAATTGCTTCGACGTTGGGAAATTGATAATTGGCTTGCAAGGCTTGGATTGCTGCAAAAGTAATAGGAAAATCGGTTAGTTACAGAGTAAAGAGTTAGGCTGACCGAGCAAGTTTGAGTGGCTTACATGAAGAACCGAAATCCTTGTTTATAAACCAGCCCGGCACCTCGGCTGTTTCGTAATTGCCCGACACCCAGAAAAAATCGTCGTCGTGAAGATCTTTATCCGGGGTACCGGTTACAATTTTTTCCTTGCCCGGCCTTATCTTCAGGTAATAAGCTAGGCCGTCCCCGGTGTGGCCCATTGTGTATTGCCTCAGTATCTCAGCTAGACCTAAGTTGGTGCCTAGCCGATTGTTCAATTCGTGAACGCCGTTTATTATCCGGTAAGTGTTGGTGGACACTTGGGTTGGTGCTAGCCCGGTTCGGCGCAAGAACTCGGTTATCAGTGGATTACGTGGGAAACGAAGGCCCCCTTCAACAATGGATAGCACGGTGAAGGGGCATTCCTCCCTACCCCAAGGCGTTGTCTCCTCTTCTGCCAGCTTGAGATGGACGTCGGCCGGGATGCCGTACTCCTCTCTGAAAGCGGCTAGCACGGCCGGAGTATCCACTAGAAAGCGGAATTTCCCCATTTGTGGCCGGCTTACTATAGCCCGGTTGAAGGGTTTGGCTCTGTGGTAATTGGTTGCTGCTCGGTCCTGAGAGCCTCAGGAATGACAGTGGTCCCCTTGGACTCTGCAGGAAAAGGATGGCAAGGTAAGTGTGAGCGCGGTCGCGCAAAAGGAGCTGGACTTTAGCTCGGTCATTTAGAGTGCCAAACCACCTCGGTCATCTAACTCTATCTAAGGAGCCCGGTCGCCCAAGCAGACCAGATCTTAGCCCGGTTGAGCGACCAAGTCCTTTTATGATCTCGGTTTTTGCTGGGGTCGAGACAAAC